CACACATACACACACACACACACACAAACACACACATACACACACACACACAAACACACACATAGACACACACACACACAGGAGCGAAATAGCTTATGTGCAAGTTTGAATTCGCACATACTTTGTTGAGTAATTATTTTGCCTTAACCAACGACCCCAGGAAGGAAGGGTTTCTCAATTTCACCACAAGCAAGTACAAGCTGCACTTTTTTGAGACACCAAGTGGACTCAAATTTATAATGAACACAGATCTCAGTGTTGGGAACATGAAGGATGTTTTACATCAAATATTTAGCTCTGTAAGTTGCAAAAGATGCTTTTTTTAAAAATTGTATTTTCTAAAAAGTAATGGTTCTTATGAAATGGTCTATACCTCAAAGTCAAAGGTTCATTTACAGCATATTGAGCCTAATTGTACTCCATCTTTTATTCCTTTTACCCACTGTAAGTTTACGCATTAGGCTTACTTGAGGGAATTTATTATCGGAACAAAGACATTTTTTTCTCTTTTTAGGACATCAGTGGAACAGGATATTGGCTTTTATTGCTAAAAAGTACTCACGCAGTGTTCACATGACCTAATTAGAAATGAATTCTTACTTAAAATGTACTATTACTTCAATCCTACTTTTTCCCCATGTCTCTGCTAAGTAACTGATTCATCATGAAGCCCTTACCTTTGTTCTTTTTGTTTAAACAGTTACACCCCGTTGTACTGCCAGGTTTTGCCAATGTACGAAAAGGAACGCCTATATGAACATAGCATTTTCACCTTCACACGGCCGTCCGCCAATTGTTTGAGTTGTATGGTCCTTATTTAACTAATGCAAATTTACCTCGCCATACCGCCAGAGAGCTGACCGCCAGAGGTACTCACTGCATACGGCGCACAATACCCTCTGGTTGGCTACTTGATAATCTTTCTCCCACGAGAAAGACAGAAATAGAGAGAGAGGGGACTCTCAGCTCTGAATACATGTGCTTGTAAATATATCACCAGGACAAAAACGCTTTTCAAACTCAGATTGCACAGCAGAATCATGTTCCATGATGTTGGGCAGTCGGGCTATACAGCAGAGGAACCTTACTAAATCGCTAGCCCCACTGTTCCGCCAACTTCGTGCCCATCCCAAGGGTGGCGGTATATCGTTGTTTGACTGTATCTGTTTGGGTTTTCCTCCAAGCTTATAAGGCAAGCTTTCATGGTGCAGTTGGTGTTGAACTTGGCTGACACAGGGTTCAACTGTATGGGGTTCGAATAAGATTTTTTTGTTCCTCCCAGAAAATGTTTCCTCCTGATGAGGGACAAAGTGCTTAGAACTTGATACAACCTGCATCACATCTAACTGAGGGTTGAATTTAAAAATAATGACAGAAAAAAGCTCTTCTTAATTAAGTGATTCTTATTGATCTGATGATTAGTGCATGGGCTGTCTCTACTGATTCATTTTAAAACTCTCTCCCCCCCCCTCATGTTCTAGCTGTATGTGGAGTATGTTGTGAAGAACCCTCTGTGTGAACTGGACCAGCCTGTGACAAGCGAACTCTTCAAGACCAAACTGGATGAGTACATTCGGGGACTGCCGCAGTTCCCAATCAAAGCCACATCATGATCTCAGTCTGTGAGGGAAATGGGATTGGGGGAGATGGGATATGGGTAAAAGGAAACGGTAGAAGATGTGCTCACTAAAGGAATCTCGATGGCATATATAAAAATCGCATTCTCTATCGAACTGATTGTAAAATGCCATGTCTCTGATGTTCCCTCTTTGATTTTTGAACGTACATGACAAAATATGAACTAAAATTAGAAAAACAATTCTGGATTAACATAATTTTTAACAGTAATATATGACAATGTAGATTAACATCTCTTGTGCAAATGTTCATAAAGGCTTTGACACTTAAAGTGCTGCCCGCCCAAAATCTATGCCTATTATATAATAATTAAAGATAAGTCTGAACCAGCACTTTTCAACACTTATTTCGGACAGTCACAGTGAAGAGAAGTGTTCTTACATCTGTTGTTGCATTTTTAGTTCTGATCCTGTATCTTGTTTCTGTTGTTGGAACCTAAATGTATTAGTTTTTCTGCACATAGTGCTAATATATAATTAATAGAAACAGCTGTCACTGATAAATGCTTGTCACTTTTTTTCACACCTCAAAAAACTGAACTCATCATCATGAAGACTTTCAAGCAAATTCTTCACTTTGTTGAAGAATGTCAGAAAATTGCTTAAAATAACAGGTTGTCTGAAGGCGTAAGAAGTTTGCTTTGATGATTCATTTTTATTCAGGTAAATCTTTATCGTAAAGTTAATCATGTCTATCAAACAAGAGGTTTGACTCCCAGGAGCACTCTGTACTGCCCCTGTCTCATTGCTGAAGTATAATAAAGGAATTGGGAAAAGAATTTTTGTTAATATCTTGTTCAGATTGTCATGTATCCAAACTGCTCCAGGCCAAGTCATTGTTAATGATGTAAATGACGTTTCAAATAGGAAAAATAGACAAGTCGCAGCTCTTTTATGATTACCCTTCAAGATAATGATTTTTATTCGACTTTATTTTCCCGATGGGCACAATGGTAATTTTGTCTCTCAGCCAGTCTTATTGTGTGTGTATTGATTATTGCAGTATGAAACTAGTTTTTCCTTTTGGTTGTTGATCATTTAAAAAGTCCAAAATTAGTTTTTGTGACCATCATATATTTTGTGGACTTTATGTGATCTTTAGATGAAAATAGCTTTCGCTACTTATAATTTTTGTGAATGTATCTCACTCTTCAAAACAGACAAAACATTGATACTTGCGAGGAAAGTCCATTTTACAATATAGTGATTCCGGTAGCCTTTAGCGTGGGTCTAAATAAATACTTTACTAAGACTCACGAAAGTTTATCATGATATTTAATTATCAAATGATCCACTGCTAAAGGGCAGGAATAGTGTGTAGATTTTTTACGCTGAAAAATATTAAAAACTGTTTCATACACTGATTCCTAACTAATGTCCATCTTGAGGGGCACATTGGGGG